AACCCAGACCCCCTCTGCACTTATCGCCAGGTTATGAGTTTATGAAATTGCGTCCTCATGGATTTGTCTCAAATTTGAAACTGGTATATATTGGAGGATCTCTCACGAGCGCATGTGCAGCACAAACAAAATGGTATAACGCGGAACTTGTGACGAAAATCCACCAAAATACACAGTCTTCAAGTTTGGGATAAAATCCGTGAGAACGCAAATTCATAAGCTCATAACCTGGCAGATAGCCCAGATAGGTCCGTCCGCACGGTCCAACTGTTTAAAGAGTCTCTAGCCTACATAAACTATGCAAGTGAATTCTTCCAAAGATAGGCGATAAATGCAGCTGACCCCGAATTAACTTTACTGTAAAACTCTTTAGTGCGAAAAAACTAGGATTTCCGTAAACAGACCATTGATATTTTTGCCAAAACCTGCGATGAGTTCAAAAGCGAGGAACGAGAAAAAATTGAATGAGGCAATTTCCTGCAAGATTTGTCTAGGCTATCCGACATGCTGATTGCGAAAATCATGTCAAAGTGGATGTGGATTTATTCAAAGTTTGCCAGCCGTTTTGGCCTTCACGTCAAAGATTTTCTGCACTAAGTCTGCTAAGAAACTCGAGAAGTTGCTGTATCGGATCATGCTTATAAGAACTTTCTGTATACAGGAAACTTTGAGTTATTCCTTACAAAAACGCGTCCGCAGAACATAATGAAGACCTGAGATTAAAGCGAAACTTAAATCAAGTCTCAAAATAACATACCGATCAAACGTCAATGCCAAATTAGCTGTCTAAGGTGATGCTATAGAGCTGCATCAAATAACTTGCTCGTGGACTTGCATATCTCCGAAATTTGCTTCATTCTTTCGATGCTGGAAAAAAGCCTACGGGTAATTTTCTGTCGAAAATGGTATATGGGCACAGTTCTACGAAGGATACTTAATCATGTTTTCGAAGTGGCCTTTTCAAATGGTGCATACCATATTAGTGGGCATAAAACGCTGACTGAAATCTGCCTTCCTTGTCTGACTTTTATGTACGAGGAGTTATGAGAGTCCATTGGAGAATTTAATGTGCAAGCAGGACAAAAATAATCGTAATCTAACGCTTTGATGGAACAAAGGTAAACATAAGAGCACTTTATGCAATAGATACTCTCAGATAAAGAAATATATCACACTTAGTGTTATTTAAGGGCTAGTAAGATTTAACAACTCAGTTTATCCTGAATGAACTTTGAATTAGAAATATATCACACTTAGTGTTATTTAAGGGCTAGTAAGATTTAACAACTCAGTTTATCCTGAATGAACTTTGAATTTTCTGCTTCAATGATGCCATGACTCCCCGTCCACAAACGTTCCGTGGGTAAGGAGGTAAATTCAAGTTTAGCTTCATGCTCCTCAATATCGTGTGCATCACATCTGAAAAAGTCACTTCGACTAAAGATGCTTCCCTTGTTAGTGAAACCCCTTTGTGTACACTATGCACTGCGCTACACCATCACGAGAACACGTCACACAAAAAATATGTTCACTGTATACAGCTAAGTGCTATGTACGAACATCATTTGATGCATTATAGGATGACGTATAACAGAAACCAACTGTTATGATTTGAACTACCTCGTTATCAACCTTTCAGACTTATTCGAGTATAAATTACATTTCACGACTGTAACATCGTTTAATCTATTGTGGGATGACGTCATGGCGGACCGAAATTTTCAAAAGTTATTTACATGAGTTATAAAAACGTGCAAGTGGCTTGTTTATATTCGTAAATAATTGAAATAATCTTCAAAATTTCTTAAAAAATCATAGAAGCCTTGTAAAAAAATCTCGAAGAGGTGGACCGTCACGCCCCCTTTATCCAAAATTTCGGCGTCATGGGCCCCGCAAAAATTCTGGGAAGCATCCCAAAAAATCTTGGGAGTGCGTGGCTAACGCCAGGCATCTTTATCCGAAAAATTTTTTCTTTCCATTTTCAATTTTTTATTTTTTGTATTTAAATGTGCATATCGCACACCATGCGCACCCACCTTACGACTTGTAAAATTATGCATTATAAATTTTGTGGGATTTTCCTTTGTTTTCTACTCTTTTTTGGTTTGTTGGAAGTGTATTGAGTCTTGCTACATGTTCAAAAACACATCTTGTGCTGTAATAGAGCCAGCGCGTATTGCGATTTTACACATGTGATGCTGCTAGTAATAGGGTGTCCCATATTTCTTTATCGTTTTACTAAAACGCTGTATTTTTGTATTTTTACTTCAACTGATATGGCTTTAGTAATCATTCGACAAGGCAAAGCAAGCTCTACAAGATGGCTATGAAGAATCCGTTCATATCGTATTTTACCGGAAGTTTAAGTTTCAAGCTGAAATCTGATAGCAGTCAAAAACGAAGCTTTCCTTCAAGAATCGTATCTCAGACCCAATATGTCTTTAAAATTCCCCATTTATCCTAGTGTATGCTTGACACATCGCACATCTAACTGTACTATTTCCGCATGTTTTCCATGGGTAAAAATAAAGAAAAAAATGAACGGGGTATAATGGCAAACTCCGCCTCTTAGACATCCTTAGCTCCTCCCACGCGGTTGGTGATATGGCTCATACATACGGAAGTATGATCATGTATTATAAACTTTGAAGGTGCCCCAGTTCTCGAGAAATGCTGATGTTTATTAAAAACGGTAAATTATGGGACACCCTAATACTATATCCAAGAATATTTGATGATCTATTTCAAATACAAAACCCCTCTACTACTCCATTGTATGCGCGATACTCAGGTGATGAAATGCAGCAAAAATTCTTAAGTGTCTTCCCAATCTATTGCAGTAGGTTAGTATAGATAAGTAGATTGTCTTAGCCGCAAGCCAATAGTACAAAAGAAGTTGAAAGGAGTTCAAACATAAGAAATTTGCGAAAAGGAAACATTAATACTAAGTTGGTTCGATAGTTTTGAAGGTTTTTTTTTTCAATTGATCGGCAATCACGCTAGAATGAAGATAAACAAGCGTTTTGAAAATGTATCCGATGCATAATTTCTTCTTCCTTCTAGCTGCTAAACTCCCATTGTGCTTCGTTGCGATAGTGACGAGATATCTGTTGGAAATTACAACCACTCGTTTTTACCATGTTCAAAGTTCGCTGATTTTCAAATTTTTTGTATGAGGCTCTCGAAGGAGCCCTAGTAACCAGCAGTAGGGCAAACCTTTTGCCAACAGAAGCAATTTTTTTTAGCCCTACGGCTTGTCTTTAAGAATTTCTACGATTTATTTTTTGAAGTGACCAAATTTTACATTCAGCCTATTTATCCTCGTAGAACATGAAATGTTAAACACTTCAGTCACCATTCAATGCAACTTATTCTCCTCCTTCTAACACTTGTCTTTTTTTGCCGAGACAAAAACTTGAGGGGAAAATCGCAGTGTTTCTCAATTTCAGGAGTGCGCACTGACGTAACCTATGTTTCAAAATCTTCATAATTTGAAGAGAAAATCGCTCATATACTTTGTAGTAGTGGCGGTAGTAACAAATGTGTGTTGAAATTTCAGTTTTCTGTAGGTTTTGCAATGTTTGGTGCAATAACAGGTTATGCGATTTTTTTCAAAACACAAGACTTTTAGAAAATTATTCAACAAAAACCTGAAAAAGCAGCTGAAAAAAAGAAAAAAATGCGTAAGTTGGCAAAAGGTTTGCCCTATCTGCTGGTTATTGAGGCTCCCCCTAAAGTCTCATACAAAAATTTTGAAAATTAGCGAAAATTGGAGAAATTCTGCATTAAATGTATTTTCGTTTGTTTATCTTCATTCTAGCGTGTTTGCCGATAGATTGAGAAACTGACAAAACTTTCGGACCAACCTAATATTTGAAATTGCCTGCTTTTTTCGACATTTTCTCCTAGGCCTCAAAGTCCCAAAACATAGAGATTTCCGATTTTCTGCCTACTGAACAGCCAAATATTCCTGCGAAAACTGTCGCCCTCATGCTTACAGGAATGAGCAGAGCTTTGGCGATTGCCTCATTAAAAGAAATTTATGGGTCACAGAATGACCAAAACCACTACCCGTGTTGGGGCGCCGAAATCGCAGTCTAGATTATTTTCGAAGAATTACTAAAGTATACATAATGCAGACTATTTCTATTACGTAGAGTGGTCAAATTTTCAAATGAATGCCTTTATTCGCGCTTGAATTCTGCCGAAAAAAAGTGTTATGGAATTCTGGTTCCGAGTGCGATCGTATGAAGTTCTATAACTTTTGAAGAATGATGCTAGAAGGTCCTTCTAACCATTATTGGATAGAGCATGAAAGGAGCTTCTTGATAGCGTGCTGAGTTTTTCTCAAAGTAGAAAGTTGGATGGAGAAAAGTTGTCCCTGAAATCAAGGCTAGAAAAACGCGCATTACTTTCATCAACCTAATTTATCAAAACATAAATATGTCAAGAATAACTGAAAGAGGACATATTACCGTAAGTCCTTCACAAAAAAACCTATAGCCGTATAATAATTCAATTGACGTAATGGTACAGAAGAAAATATAGCCATGAAACTGTCAGTCTCGCTCTTTTTTGCCATATTTTACATCAAAGGTACCAAAAATGAAAGCAGAAGCCATATTATTCCGAATTTTCAGCACAATTTCTAGTCCATTTCGAACATGCAAAATGATAGAAGAAGCATCATTAAGCCAAAGATTTTTAGCACATTCTCTGCGTAATTATGTTGGAAATAAAATTCGTATAAAGCAACTTCCAAGATGTTGGCATTTCTTATCCAATTTCAAAGTAAGGCGTAATAACAAGTCTAGCGAGCCATTACGTATTTATGGTACATAGCAGGCACATCCTCTTTTACTTATTCGATGGCACCCTCTTTGTGTTCGAGACGCAAGGAAGACGAAATCAAAATAAACGAGAGAGAAATTAAATCCGAACTTTGCACATTTAGCATTTTGCCTAGACTTCTTTTGAGGACGTTCGGATGGATATTCTATTTAATTCTCGCAGTTGCACCTATTTTCCGCTATTCTGCGATTCATGACTTTTTTTTCAAAGTGTGTAGCGGAACATCGCTCACTCAAAATTGTGGGTGCTTGCGCCTTGACTGGCACTGAAATAAAACTATTTGGTCCTGGATGAATGAAAAAGCTTCTAAAGATCAAATCACAATGTTGCTACCACATTGTACGGCACGGTTTGAAGGGTGACCTAGGACATTTGCCAGTTGATTACTTTTTTAGTAAGGTCGAAGAGGTGCATGCGCCCCCTCCCATACCGTTTCCCATGCTCGAGAATACCCTTGATAGGCCCACAAAAGTGTGTTCGTGATCGATTGCCTCACAACCACCCCCGAATTTCCGCCTATTGTGTTTCCACTCTTATATATTCGTAGTGCTCATCGTCTCTTTTTGTTTCACATTATTGTTGTTTTGCATACAGTAGTCTTCAATTTAACAGCTGTCTTGCGTGACTTCAAGTTATTCACGTTTGCGCTGATCATTGCAAATTCAGAAGAAATATACAAAACCCTTTTGATGAACTCTTTATCCCCGCGCTGGTATTTTCGTCAATTTCACAAGTTGTCATCGACCTGTCCTTCATTATTGCGTGGTACTATCGCCTACCTACCTAAGCGGAGAAACACTATCACACTCACCAATGATTTCATACATACTACTTCTTTTTTAATCTCCGTTCACATATTAGGTGGGTCCGAAAGTTCGTACCATTTTCTAGACCTATTCTAAAATGTCTGATGATAGGCAAATTGTTCAAACAGTATTCGATGCAGAATTTATTCCTCTTTTCAGGAGCTATGTTTCCGATGTGACCGTATCGACGAGCGCTGAGATGATCGCCGAACTTTACAAGCCTTCATTTCTGCCATGCCCGAATTTCGCTAATTTTTGGAATTTTGTTTCAAATTATTGAAACTGCTCTGATAACCGTCTAATAGGGTAAACCTTTTGCAAGTTAGTGCATATATTTGCACTTTCCCAGCTTCCTTCCTGAAGCTTTGCTGAGATATTTAACCAGAGCTTTCAGTTTTGAACAAATCGCTTGACACATAATTGCACCAAACACTGCGAAGTCCTCACAATATTGAACACTTGAAACAACTATTACTATCACTACTCTCGCAAAGTGGAGCGAAGCCAAATATAAGTTTTGGTAGCTTCAGAAAATATATGTTAGTAATTCTAAAAAGCGCACCCGAGAAATACTATATTGCATTGATTTACAAAAGGTTTGCTCTATCAGATGATCGTCAGAGCACCCTCAGTAAAATTCTAAAAAATAGCGAAATTCGGACATGGCATCATGATGGCTTGTTAACTTCGGCGATCATCTCAGCGCAATCTCCGGACGATTTCAGAATAAGTCTAGAAAACGGCAACTTTCGGACCCACCTAATATATTAGGTTGTCCCGAAAGTTTTGTCGGTTTTTTCAAACCACTGTAAAACCACGCACAATAACGGCCTGAGCGATTTTCAACATACATTCGATGCAGCTTTTCATTCTCTTTCTTAAGGATACATTTTCGTACCCGTATTTTTTCGTTTGACCTCGTATGTTTTTTTTTTTTGATTATTGCCAAAATTCTCCACCTGTCAATTTTACCTGCTCAAAGTTGAGCTAATTTTTAAATCATTGCAAAGATTCGAAAAATATTAAGTATGGGTCAAACAGAGCAACTCTCGGGCTACAAGGAGGTGTTTTTAGATTTTCCTAATCTGTTGATTTTGACTTCAAAGAATTATTTCTTCGGAGGCCTTGTGCAACATTACCAAGTTTGATTCGGCTGGGTTCATACTGAGCCGCACAAAGCGGCACAGTTCCAGCACAGCGCTCGAACTGTGCTCGAACTGTGCCGCAACTGTGCTGCATGCGCAGTTGGAGTATTTTGACCGTTTCTAACGGTTTTTCTTCTAGTGTCGCGGATTGGGGTCCCAGGACATCGACACCTCATGACACACAACAAACATGAATAGCATACAGATATTCCTGGGGCTAAGGCCTAAGCCCTAAGCCCAACACTCGCACAAACAATAAGACTCTTAAGGTGCCCACCATTTATCCGGATCTTCACCAACACACAAACAACTCATTACAATGGGATGAGCACACGCCGGCCAAGATGTTACCTAGGGGCCGATAGAAAGAAAACCCCCGCGGAGGTACTCCTTTGCCCTGCGGCAAGCAAGAAGCACCAACCGGGTTACCTCGAGGCGACGGGCCAGTCCTCCATGCGTGGTGGTGTTCTTCGCGTGAGTTGGTAAGACGGCGCTGCTGGATCGATCGATAATTGGAGTGAGTTGAAGCCGACCGCTCGCGAGTAGACACATGTGGCGTACGTGACTTTAGGCAGGTGAGTTGCGGCATAAGTAGCGAGCGAGAGGGCGGGGCAGCGCGCGAGGACTGGCGTTTTAGGACCCCTTCGCGCACGAAAAGCGGACTCATTGAAGAAGTCGCGCATCCGCGACACTCCAGGCAACAAGAAAAAGAATCCGAGGTAGGCTCTCGATCTACCACGTCACCTACGACCCTACGAGTTAAACGTACAACAATCTGCGAGTTAAGAAAACCCTAGACTGTTCGCGCGGGCATACTGCCTGTCGCGTTGACAGCTGACAGCCGGCTGCCTCGTGGGTAGGCAAGAAGAGTTGTCGGGGGCACTACGTTGGATATCTGGTGGGTCTTCTTCGGCACTTGAGGTACGACAGTTGTGGTGACGGCGGCGATCGACTCGACGACGTTGAGACACTTGCGCATCGACATCTGGACCATACGACCATGACTCGACGTTGACGTGGACTTCGTTGACGTGACATTCAGCGGCTCGACATTGGCGTGAAGGTGACAGGTGACGACGGATTGAAGACCAAAAGGTTTTTTTTGCCTACGTGGCGCGGTGTTTCACGCCAGGGGGAAGAATGTAGATAGCGAGGGGGAGAGTTTTCCTCGCGACGCAAAAGAACCCAAGGTCAAGTCAGGAGCAAAAGAGGGGAATCCCAAATCCAAAAAGAATCAACACGGTCTCCCTCCGTGGCCCCAAAAATCGACAGTTGTGGTAACAAGTAGACGCAACGTGTGGACATCGTAGCCAACCTAAATCAGAGTTGACAACGACATACAAGGCGAACTTAAGGTCCGCCAAAAACAACACAAACAAAAATAAAACAAAAACAAACTAAAGGAAAAACTAAAAAAGCGTGAGTTGTGGGTACATCAGCATAGTGGGAGGAACCAAAGGGCAGCACTCTCCATGAGTGCTCCATAGTGTCAACCTAAAATAAATTTGACGACGAAACAAAGGAGTGAGCTTAAGGCTCACCCCAAAGGCCGTAAATTGGGGAAAGAAAAGACAAATGAGGTAAACGTATAATGTGGGAAAGGCAACTTACCTGCGAGGCGATTTCTTGACCTTTGCCCCTCGCCGGTTCATTTCCGCCAAGGCCTTATACTGCTCGAGATGCAAACCATACTCCAAGCGACCAATATCGTTGATTCCATGCGGGTTCTCGAAGCAGAAAGACGTTTCGTGTGGATTTGCATCTCCTGCATTCCCTTCCGCGGTGAGGACAGTCCTCTTCAGCATGTCTGGCACAACAAAGGAAACAACCTCCTCGTGTCGCGTTCAACTCCATCTTTCTACTCAGTCGCCGATAGACGTCACATCTCGGGGGCGAGTGTCGTTCCTTACAGAAGTGACAACGAGTGGTTTCCTCTGCCCATCGGCCTACACGCCGTTCTGGAGTTCTTCTCCTGGACTCTCCTCTCCGCTCAGGTTGCCTTTGGGAAATGGGCGGTGAGGCCCCATCCTGGGGGCGCCAGGCGCTGTCGGGGCGTAGAAGGAACTGATGACACTGTTGAACCTTCCTGATGGACGATGGCTTCGAGCGCCCTTTGCAGGTCGGAGTATGCTGTGGAAGTGGCCGCTGAAGCAATTCCTGAACCGTGTGTTGCAGGATGCTTGGTGGCGGCTGTGGCGGTGGAAATTGAGGTGCCTGTACCGGCTGTATCTTGGGTTTGGTCTTCCTCTTCCGTGGCTTCGGAAGTTGCGGTGCGGCTCTAGTCACTGTGGTTGGTGATGGTAGTAGTATGGGGTCTACAACACCTCTGGCTTGCAGCTGTTCCTTGAGAACCACACGGTAGCACTCATGCACAATTGACATTTGTGCCACGATCAAGTTCGCTGCATAGATGGTAGTCTCCAACTTGCGGGACGTGATGTCATATTTGGCCAGGAGATCAAGTCTGGACTGGATCTGCTCAGGTCTCAGGTACAACACACGCATGATTTCTCTCAGGATTTCGTATCGTCGGAAGTTGATGTTGTAGATGTTCGTGAAGAGAATGTCCATGCGGTTGATAATGTCTTCTGGACCTGGCTGCGGCCTACGACTCAGTTCCTGCAGATAGTTGGTGGCATCTGCGGTCATCCGCACAAGTTCTTCCATAGAGCCAGAAATGAGTAGAGCGCTCAAGTGTGAGGAACTATCTCCGAACTCCTGCCTCTTCTGCGGATGGATCGATTTAACCTGAACCTGTTCGAAGAGGTCCTTGTGGATGAAATTGTCAAGAACGACAAGATCTGCGTGACTCAGCTGCGCCGAACTGAAGATGTAGTCCGTAGAGAGTGCCATGGTCATCTGATGGAGTAATTGGACAGCGGTCGATACTCTCTCGGCACTACAGTCGTCTTTGGATCTTCCTCGGCCTGAAACGGGAAGTCTCCGGTGACGTCACGTCCATTCGCTATAGCTGAAATAAGCTCGAGCATGGTGGGTGCTCGAGTGTGGGCTTCCTCGGTAACTGGAGGCTTTGCCTCTATGGAGCGAGAGGATTCCGGAGCTCGCGTGATCGCAAGCTCATGGATTAATTCAGCTAGCAGCTCGGACTGAGCCGGGCTTTCGCTCGGCTTTGCCCTTCGTGCCTGCTTCCTCTCCGATGAAGTTGATGGCGACCTCGAATAAGATCTCTTCCGTCCTCGATACTGCTGGGACTTCGATACGGGTTCGCCTCTCCTTGTCTTCGTACGCCAAATCGTCATGATGTAGATGGTCAGTCTACTTTATCGCTTTACCCTAAAAAAGGAGAGAGAATGATAGAGGAAAGGAAGCGCGCCACAATGGAGCCACAACAGACAGATTTTGAGGGTTAGTAAGAGAATAAAGAATGAAGAGAGAGAGGAAAGAAAATAGGGGTAAGAAAATAGAAGACGAAGATAGGGATGTGTCAATTAGAAAAGAAGATATAGAACAGGTCATGACATTTGTGGATGTTATGTTAGTGAATGAAAAGTGAGCTACGAGTGTAGATAAAATAGCGTGCATGATGTTTTAGATTTCGCAACTAAGCTTACCTACACAACTAGCGCAAAAAGAAGGGAAGGAAAGAGTGAAGAAAGAGAAATGAATGAACACAGAGGAATCAAAGAGGACTACCCAAAAAGATGTGAGCCACCGAAATTTTGGTTAAAGAGATAGAAAAGGAAGAAAGAAACTGTAAAACAAAGGAGAAATGAAGGATATGGCCCACAAAGTGAAAGGGGAACATTGAAAGAAACAAAAACAAAGAAAAAGAGTCACAATAGACGAAAAAAGTAGATAAATCACAACTAACAGCCACATGATGCAATCTTTGCACATGATGACTGTATGACGATCGCGACGGGACCTTCACACTTCATCGACGCGTAGAGGAGCGCAATAAATGTCGCGCTCTGTGGAGTGCGATCAAGGCAAGCGAAAATGCAAAGCCTGAAGGCAACGCGAAGCCGCGACGATCGCAAAAGAGAGCGCTGCCAAGCGCTTGTGGATGGGGGACTGCGTCTTCACCAAGGACTGCATCCCTGTGGAATGGGTTAAAGTACTCACTAAACACTCTCTGATGATCACACAATGAAGTGTCATCCAAAATATAATGTTGGACCACAGCTTCTTTTACCCACCATCTTGTGAGCTAGTCCTTCTGCGCAAATGACAAGATTGTAACCATAAGCACATGTGACTGTGTGAATCGTACACTTGTGGGGTTATGAAGATGGAGTCTCAACAGAATGAAACAATTAAACCACAAATCGCGGTGGTATCCTCTCGTCGTTTAGATGTTATGCGCCAAAGGGATAACTGTTCCATTTCTACATATTCACAAGTATCTCTTTCCGCAATGATCTTCCTATCGTCCTTTGGATGTTGAAGCAAATGACGAGTATATCGAAAAGAGCTTCCTGGCGACACATCTGCCGATGTTATCCATCTATCGAGTATAGACAGGTAGATGTCAACAGTGTCTTCCTCCAGATAGACATAATCGATAATGTCGCCACAATTGACAACCGGTGTTAGTCATCGTCACAAAGTCGCTGAAAGGTGGGGAAAGGATAATATGCTGAGTGACGATTCACACTTATCATCTGCTACATCTCTTCAATCACACAGCCAGTTGCGTACATTCGAGACCTCATTCTTTCCAAAATCGTTCCGTTGTTTTCCAGCAACTGGCGTTCAGATGACAACAACTAGACTGATGTAATCAATGCAAAGAGGGGGACAATCTATAACGCAAAACGCAATGATCGAAACGAAGCCCACAATCTTGATGGTGGGACCTGATATTAGTATAAGACGTAATAGGAAGCACGGGTCTATGGGGTTACAAATCCAGGGCATTTGTGGTATAGAGAGCGTGTTCAGTGAGACTAGGTATCTAGTAATTGCTTTTGCCGTATACGTCTAAGTCGCTCAAGGCAAAGCGTTCACATAGATACTGTGGAATCAATATAGTGTTCGTGTATGAGCAAAGTCTTCCAAGCGATACTCCTTGCGATGATGTTGACGGCAAACGAAGTAGACGAAATCATATGTTTTGTGAAGACTATGCTCAAGCACAAATGTGAGGAGATCAACAATCCTAAATAACTCAAGGGTGGACTTCCGACAGTAGCAACTCGAGACTTGCAACACATCGTAACTCCTGATGCTGGTTCGATATTACTAGCAAAGTTATAGTGTCCATAACAATCTCCATTTCCACAATCGACTCGAAGGATAGTCCAAGTCGTCCTGCACGATCGAAAAATGTCTCCGTCGTTGGACTAGATGTTGTACAGTCCATGAGATCATCTTCGAGAGCGGAACAGTGCCACAAATATTGATTGAATGTTCACTCGTCATGGGCGGATGACTTCATTGGCTTGATGGAATTGATAAGATGAAGCATAACTTAGGAGTCTGAAGTGTGTGGTCAAATAAGATGTCAAGATGCAAAGTCTCTGGATGCCAATCGTGCGTTGAGTAATATAAGATCACTGAAATCTGAAACATGCGCAAGTAGCAACGCTTGTCCATTACACCACCAAGGATGTGCGATTCAAGCGTGCCTACGAGCGTGTGGTAGGTTTCTTTGGGATTCTTTGTCCACTTGGCTAATCCAGCGAAACCATTCAAGCACAGTAAGCCATAAGGGACTCAGAAAACCCAAAGAAGTCCTATCAGCTCTAAAACCTATCTGTTACCACCACGGATTCTGTGGGTATCACTGGGTGTTACCGTGACGCTTAGTGCTCAACAGTACTGACAAAATTACACTTTTTAGCAGTCCTAATTCTCGTCCTCCATAATGTTCCGATAAGGGTAGATGGTATGACAAACCTCTCACAGGAACGGTAAACATAAGCCAGAGGCAAATTCGAAAGCTAATTCTCCACAATAACCTCTATCCACGCAGGTGATGGTAACGTTTAGGAAACAAAGTCTAAATCCTACACCGTACCTTCTGATCTTCTTGGAAGAGTAGATGAAGAGCAACGGCTTTCCAGGGCTGGTCATAGTCCCTGGGTCGACCATCTGGCTATCAAGGAGCGAGATCTTCTCAGCCGCATCCACGAACAATCCATTGTAAAGGCCTGAACAGTCTCTACAGATAGATTTATCATTCTGATCTTACGCTGAGCCTCTTGGGACACTGGCGATGAAACTCCAAAGATTGCACGATCTTCTGGTGCGTAATAGTCAGTCTGTTGACCACGTTCATGGAACGAACAGAGCAGGGAATCACAGTAGCAACATGTGGGCGAGCTGTAAGACTAGAAATGTGGGACTGACGGTAGTCCTGTGGGATATTGATAGGGTGAGTAGGTACAGGACAAGAATTTAGATATCCACTTCGGCGTTTTACAACGTCCTCGATGTTACCGGCGTCGAATGTAGAAGACTAATATCCCGACGATGGTCTGAACGGGGTTCCGGCGAAGGAGATACGTTTGGCTGACTAGTACAAAATATACATGTCAGGTTGGGGATCGAATTATAGGGTAATATGTGGCTTGCTGCGATATCCTCTATGTTTGCGCGGTTGATAGTGATAATCACGAGAATAGTCTCGAGATCTTCTACTATGCCGTGCTAGATCTTCCAAAACCAAGGATTTTCCAGGTTGATCGTCTCCTTCCGCAGCTTGCTGTGTCTCCGATGACGACTTTGACAAATTAGATGAACTAGATGACTGATGACGTCCTCGGGTACATTTCTCTTCCTCCAGAAATCTACAGAGAAGTCGATAACGTTGACTTCCAAGTCTTCTATGAGATGGATAATCGCATTCGTCCTGTACAAACCCTAAAAGACTAGGCACTCAGAGTGCTGTGGGACATCTCTATTAGCAGCAGGGGTACTACGGGAGCAGGTTATCAAAGATCTAATTTGAGTAAGCGTTCCTAGATGCCAAATGGAATCCGCGGTCCTCAAGTCGATGAAGGAAAAAAGATCGATAAAGGTCTTTGAAATGCTTGATGGCACAAAGAATCCTAAACTCAAAACGAAGTGTTGCGTCTGCTGGAAACTAATGCGATCGACGTCCATCCCTCGAGCTGTTGATGGAATAAGCTCTAATCTTCCATCCTACTGGTTCCGCAACGCTCATCAAAGAATGATGATCACTCCGAGTTAGTCCAGAACTCCTCAAGCACCAATTTAGCACTTTCCACATACACTGCTCGCCAACAGAGATGTTTCATGTGGATGCTGTTCATTATGCACAGCTAACTCAAACGCACACCGAAGACCAAATGTGGCAACATCTCCATCCAGTGGCAACATCTCCATCCAAGAACCACAACTTAGCCTTTCCAAACGGAATGCTAAGTGCTACGATGGAGGTGAGGCTTAGGAGACGTTTTGTGTGGATTTTTGCTACAAACTGTTGCACAATGCTCAGCAATAATGTGACACTAAGTACAGTCATCTGTGAAGCTGCATTCATGCCACTGTGGAGACGTCACTAATCACAACTTCAACCGATCGTCTCGTTATTGTCGCAGGTGGCATTAAAGGCGAGCAAATAACCAGTACAAGACTTTGACTGTGCTGCGCGCTCTCTGCATACTCCACATGTAGAAAAGGAGCTCTAGCGCTGGCCAGTCACTATGCTACTTGTCCACAAATCCGTCACGAACTAT